TGCCCGTCCTCTCAGGGTGCCCGTCCTCTCAGGGTGCCCGCCCGCCCGCGCTGCCCGTCCTCTCAGGGTGCCCGTCCTCTCAGGGTGCCCGTCCTCTCAGGGTGCCCGCCCGCCCGCCCGCGCTGCCCGTCCTCTCAGGCTGCCCCGCGCCCGCCCGCCTCACCTTCGAAGGCTGGCACCGGGAGCAGCGTCTTCAGGCCGGCGCGGCCGGGAGGGAGGCCCCCGAGGCCGCAGGGCTCCCCACCTGGCCAGCGTGCCCGCAGGAGCGGCGCCCGGGCGCGCGCCAGCAGCCCCCACATGCTCGCGCGCCCACGGTCCCCTCCCGGAGAGCGGCGAGCGGCGAGTCTCCACAGCCAGTCAGGCGGAGAGCACTGGCGCCACGGCGCGGGGCCGGAAGTGCTGCTCACCGGTGCGCTGCTCGGAGCGTCCGGCGGAAGCGGGAGCAGCTCGAGCCGCGGCTCTTGGTTCCGGGGCGCGTGCGGCGCACCGCGTGCCTGCTTTGTCCTCGTCCGACAGCACTGTCAGGGCGTGGGTTTGCTCCGCGCGCCAGCCCTCTGCTCACTGACTCATGTCTCTTCCCTAGGCCGAAAACGCCACTGATTTGCCTTGGGGTCAGAGCCTGCCCTCCTGCACTTGGTTATCTCTGTAGGGGCTCGGCAGAGAGTCCCCTTAGGCTGGGGACCGGTGACTGGGCGGCTGATTGCAAATGCGCGTCCCTTCCCCACTTTTTATGTCATCAGCTGTAGCTAGGAGCCGCGCAAGCCGGGGACTTCAGACTTCAACTTGAGAGGATGTTAGTGAGGCCCGGACGGTGGGCGGGAGGTTAGAGAAGCCTCCAGTTTTCTGTCTACGTGGGAGACGGCTACCTGCAGCGCCAACAGGAACCTGTTCTCCCTGAAGCAGGTACACCTAGCCTGTTCACTTATGCAAGAACAGCGACCTCAGAGGAAGGACAGGACCGTCCTCCAAAGACCCAGTTAATGATTCAAATATAACCCAAGACCTCGCTCAGTGCAGATGTTGTTTTAGCACTTCATGCTTGAAGGTCTGTTTCTTTAAAAAAATCTATCCTATCCCCAGTAATCCCTCAGTACACCCTGTACCAGTGGTGACGAAACTCTAGAGGCCGAGGGCCCCAACTGCAAACCCAAACCCACGTACTTGTTGCAAAATGCCAACACCACAACTAAACCGGAACACAGAGGTTTTAGTTTAGGAGCAATGACTCAGACTTTAACATATTTTGTCTTAAACATAGTAACAGGTGTCAGAGGTCGGACCACCCTACATGTCTTGTCTGAAATCTTCCGTCAAAGACACAGGACTTGAGGTGTACTGTCAGTTCCTTGTGGTGTTACCCAGCTCCGGGCAACAGGACCCTGGCTTCATGTTCTGAGAGCCTGGGGTTAGAACTCCACCATACAGAGGAAACACAGTTCAGTCTACACCAGTACTGCCCAGGGAGGTCAGGAGTGGTGAGGGATCAGGGCAGCAAGATCTTGCTTTATTGATAAAACCTAGACCGAGGAACTGGAGATGCCCCTTTCCATTTGATTTCCATTTCTGTCTCTACCTAGAGCAGGACTGAACTGAAGGAGGGGAGCAGCTTTTTCTTTGGGGGGATTCAGAGCCATAAAGTTTACACAGTATTGGACATTTTAGGCATTGACGTGTGAATGCTTTCTGAGACTAGAAGTGACTGCACAGGTTTTAAGTTTATTTTTAAATTGAAGCAAAATGAGGAGGTTAAAAAAAAAAAAAAACTAAAACAACCTCCCCCCCACACTATAAAGCCAACCTCACTAACTTGATTGGATAAAAGTTAAGTTACTTCTCATGGTATTCTGAGTCCCATTTATGTAATTACACACTGGTTATAGGTTAACTTTCTATAGTTTAAAGATGACATAAAATATTTTAGCCTGGTGTGGTGTCACAAGCCTATGATCCCTGCACTCTTGAGGCTGAGGCAGGAGGATGTTTGTCAATTCAAAGCCAAATTTGGTTAGGGAGTTTCAGTCCAGCTTGAACTACATAATCAGTCCCTGCCTCAGAAAACAAAACTAATATTTTGATTTCATCTATTTTTCTTTTTGTTTCTGTGTTTGCTATCTGCTTGCTTATATACCTTGTCTGTTTTACAAAACCTTCTGTATTTTTAGGACAGGGTCTACAAGGTCTCACTACATAAATCGAACTCTTGTTTTCAGTCTCCCAAGCACTGGGATTACAGGCATGTGCCACCACGCCCAGTCTCATTGGCTGTCTCAGCACACCCTGTGGGTGGGGGCAGGGTGGGTATGGTGCAGCGGGGATTGAACCGGCCGCTGAGCTCCGCCTAAGCTGCTGCTTTTGTCTGCTGAGCTATCTGGCCAGCACTATGTTCATTTTGTTTTTAATAAATTCAAAACTCCTTGTGTATTGAGTTTATTAACTCCTGTCTGGTTGTATATATTTCCTTTTTTTTCAGTATACGCCACTAATTTTTGAGGGATGACCATTTATCACTTTTCTACAGTAAAACCTGCCAGTAATTTTCTTAAGACGTTTTTTCCTGAGCAACTCTACAAGCATCACAGATTTGTGGAGTGAGGTGATGTTTTGCCGGCTGTGTAGATGTTGGGGTGATATCCACTTCCGTGGTAACGCCTCTTAGGGCCAGAGGGGGAGATCCGACCTAATTATTCAAGTTGAAAATTCTCATTTAGCACGTGCCTTTGTACTGTGCTAACTTCTCACAGGGTTTCTTGGGTCCGGCTTGCCATTTCATTCTATTTCCATGTCTGACATTGGTTCCACGTGGTTGAAATTAGCCCCACTTCGCTACACATTTTTATAGAGGTCTGGGCAAGTTTTTCATTTTTGTGCTGTACGTTCCAAAGAATCTGCTTTGCATGCTTGTTCTTTAAAGTTTAGAACTATTTTGTTCATCTCTATACCTTCTATTTTAAATCCCTGGGCTAGGATTCTTGACTCTTACTGAAGTTTACCCTCCGAGCCACTTGCGATTCGGGTGGAGATTGAGGCTCTGGCCGGGCTGGCTCTGCCTGGGGCCGGCTTGCATTATGGGCTCTCAGCGCGGAGGGGCTGGCGTGGCTCGCTCGCGGCCCTCGCCTGAGCGGGGCTGTCCCCACGCACACACGAAGCGCAGGGCACGCTTGCAGGCGCAGTTCACGCCTGGGTAGGCGCGCTAGCGGCCCTCCCGAGGGGCAGCTTTACCAGCGCTCGCCAGTAGAGGGCACGAGAGCGCTTTGCCTGGTCCCTGGAACCTGCTGCAAAGGCAGGCTGAGACCTGCCGCCGTAAGGAGCCCAGACGCACAGTCGGGAGCGCGGGCGCAGCCACAGGTTAATTCCTTCCTCTTTCCAGGAATGCAGCTCTTCATGCGCGCCCCAGTGCGCGTGCTCACCGGCAGGTGCAGACCGGCCGCGGGAAAGCTTTCTGGAGTCCGGATTTCCTCGTCACCTCATATCTGCAGATTGCTTTTTCAAACTGGAACTGAAACAATTATTTTTATACATTTTTATTTCAGACTCCGTGTTCTTGGGTGAGAGTTACTGGTAAAGAGGTGGCGCTTGCTCGTGGCAGTGTGAAACGGGTCCTCCGGGCAGGTAGGGCGCTCTCTGTGTGCTGCCTCCGGGCTTGGGCTCTGCTCACAGTCTTGGTCATCCTGTGCCAGCGGAGGGAACCAATCAGCTATGCTAATAAAATCGCACTGATTTTCTTCTTAGGTATTTTAGTGGTGCTAAAGGAGCCATAGGTAAGAGTCAGGAACAGGAGAAACGAGAGGGGCATTGCTTCAAAAAAAGTCTGTCCCAAGTGTACAAGGAAAGAGTAGACATTCTCTGCTCAGATAATGACAAATAGAAACTAGCTAGAAAGTGTATTGGAAGCATATAGAAAATTACAAATACCTTAGAAAAATACATCTTTAAAAATTTATGTATTTGGTGCACGGTCGCACTGCGCAGCTCAGACTTGTAGTGGTCCTCCTGTTTCAGCCTCCTCGGCACTGGGATTGCAGGTGCGTGGCACCACGTCCGGTTTTGGTGGCCTGCGGTACCAGGCAGCGAACCTGGGTCCTTGTGCTGAGCTATCTCGGTGCCCCAAATATGCGCATTTTATAAACTTGTGTGATCTCCTGCTTTCAGGTCCCCATAGGTCGGTCCGTTCTGCAGTGCGTTCTCTTTCATCGCTTATGGCAGCCACCTTTACTTTTCATACTGTGTACACATACAAATACACCTTAAGGTATTTTCTTTATTTTTTAAAGAAAATGAAAATAGTAAAGGAAAATTAGAAATGGTACCGAATTTCACTAAACAAAATAATAGGAATTCAACAATGGTTGTTATATTGCATAATGTGGTGTCTTCAAATTAGAGTGTCAGATAGAAGCATAAAAATTGGTGAAAGAACTTTCTAAGAAATTAGGGCTGGTGAGACAGCTCAGCGGACCCAGCGCCTGCCTAGGCAAGTGCAGAGACTGGGGTTCAATCCCTGGCGTGCCGTGCTGGCCCCGTCCCTGGGCCTGCTGAGCCAGAGTCCAGGGGTGGGGGCGCACGTCTGTAGTCCCAGTGCGGGGGAGGCTGAAAACAGGAGGACCACTGTGAGTCCAAGCTGTGTAGTGAGACTGTACAAAAGCAAAACAAAAACAAAAACTAAAAAACTAAAAAAAAGAAAGTTATAAGAAATTAAAAAGGAGAAGAAAAAGAAATTAAGCATTAGCTGCTTCTTTCAAGAGACTGGCAGAAATCAGCGGCATAATTGTGCAAGCTACCCTACATATATACATAAATACACCTTTTCCCTCCTTTCTTCTGCCCTTTCCCTCGCCCTTTGAACAGACTCTTCCCCTTGCACAGTAGCTGTTGTAACTCTCACATTTTATTTCCTCTTTCGGGTTCTTACATTAGGGAGACAATGCAATGTTGACGCATGGGGATCTGATCTATTTCACTCATGAGCACGGCCTCTAGTTGCATCTATTTACCCATAAAAGCCTCGAGTTTATCTTTTTTATAGCTGAGTAATATTCCATTGTGTAAAAACATCACATCTTTTTTTATCCATTCCTCAGTTAATGGGCAGTTGGGTTGCTTCCAAGATTTAACTATGACGTTATTTTGTGCTGCCCAACCTGATTTATTGTTAAACAGAAGAGTTATCTTTACTTGAAATTTTTTCTCAGTTTCCACCTGTCAATGGCTGCACCATGTGCCAGATGAATGATACTTTGGAAGCAGTGAAGGAATGGAACAAAGGCGCCGCTAAGAGCGAGGGGCCTTGCGCACACCTTCCCCGTGTGGGCTGCTTCTCTCAGGAGCTCACGTAGCGTGAACGTTCGTGTCAGAGTCTTTTCCCTCCCGTGTGAATTAGTGACTGCTAAAGGAATCGTCACAGGGCTGCGCCCGAGCTGGTGTCTACTGCCCTGTGGCACGGCTTGTGCCTGCTCCTTGGGAGCCGGGCGGGTAGCAGAGAGCAGGCAGCTCGGCGCCACCGGAGCGGGAGGCCTGTGACAGGAGCTCAGGCACGTGGCGCAGGCCGTGCAGCAGGCGCCGTGTGGTGGCCGCACACCCGAGCCTGCGGCTGGTGGTCACAGCTGGCCCTGTGTGCTCTTGTGAGTGTTCTCTTTGTATAAATGTCAAGATCAGCGTGTATGTCCGAAATGTACTAATAAACCTAAGTATATGCTATTGGGAGTCTTCTGCTTCAAAGCTGAGCCCCGGTGTCCCTCAGTGCTGGCTCTGGGCTCTCCAGGCCTTCCACCGTGCGGCATGTAACATCTCGTGTAAAATGGTGCCGCTTTGGAAGGACCTACGTGCACCCTGCCGTGGGCTTCCGCTGGCCTCCGGGTGACCGCGGGCCTCACTGGGATGTAAATACTGTGTGAGTGGCTGTTGTGCTGTGGTGCGTTGTTCAGAAGTGAGGAGAAGAAAGTCTGCATGCTCCTTACGGGTTCAGGTTTTATTTTTTTTTATTTTTATTTTTTTATTTGAGAGAGAGAGAGAGAGAGAGAGAGAGAGAGAGAGAGAGAG